TGATGGAGAGAGGTTTTGGTCCTGATGGAGAGAGGTTTTGGTCCTGATGGAGAGAGGTTTTGGTCCTGATGGAGAGAGGTTTTGGTCCTGATGGAGAGAGGTTCTGGTCCTGATGGAGAGAGGTTCTGGTCCTGATGGAGAGAGGTTCTGGTCCTGATGGAGAGAGGTTTTGGTCCTGATGGAGAGAGGTTTTGGTCCTGATGGAGAGAGGTTCTGGTCCTGATGGAGAGAGGTTTTGGTCCTGATGGAGAGAGGTTCTGGTCCTGATGGAGAGAGGTTCTGGTCCTGATGGAGAGAGGTTTTGGTCCTGATGGAGCGCAGCCTCCTGCCAGAGGGGAGGGGGGTGAACAGTTTGTGTCCAGGGTGGGAGGGATCGGCCACTATCTTTCCTGCCCGCCTCAGGGTCCTGGAGGCATGCAGGTCGTGGAGGGATGGCAGATTGCAGCCTATCACCTTCTCTGCAGAGCGGATGACACGCTGCAGCCTACCCTTATCCTTGGCTGTGGCTGCAGCGTACCAGATGGTGATGGAGGAGGTGAGGATGGACTCCATGATGGAGGTGTAGAAGTTCACCATCATCGTCTTTGGCAGGTTGAATTTCTTCAGCTGCCTCAGGAAGAACATCCTCTGCTGGGCTTTTTTGATGAGGGAGCTGCTGTTCTGCTCCCATTTGAGGTCCTGGGCGATGATGGTGCCCAGGAAGCGGAAAGACTCCACAGCAGTGACTGGGGAGTCACACAGAGTGATGGGGAGTCATACAGAGTGATGGGGAGTCACACAGAGTGATGGTGAGCCACACAGAGTGATGGGGGCGGGCGGGGCTGCGTTCTTCCTAAAGTCCACAACCATCTCCACTGTCTTGAGAGCGTTGAGCTCCAGGTGGTTTTCCCCACACCAGGTCACCAGATGGTCCATCTCCCACCTGTAGGCAGACTCGTCCCCACCAGAGATGAGTCCGATGAGCGTGGTGTCGTCTGAACTTCAGGAGCTTGACAGACTGGTGACTGGAGGTGCAGCTGTTGGTGTACAGGGAGAAGAGCAGAGGGGAAAGAACGCAGCCTTGAGGGGTACCGGTGCTGATGGTCAGAGACGTGTTTCCCCAGCCTCACGTGCTGCTTCCTGTCAGACAGGAAGTCTGTGATCCACCTGCAGCTGGGAGAGCTTGTCCTGCAGCAGAGCTGGGATGATGGTGTTGAAGGCAGAGCTGAAGTCCACAAACAGGATCCTGGCGTAGGTTCCTGCTGTGTCCAGGTGCTGGAGGAGGAAGTGAAGTGATAACTATTAGTAAACCATAATGATGGATGTTATTATCAGCAGCTGCCAATAGATCCCCTAAATCTTGTATGATGGACCACCCCCCACACACACACACACACACACACACACACACACACACACACACACACACACACACACACACTTGAGAGCATCCCAAGGGCATTGATTATTTCATAAGTTTAGAAGGGGGGAACATAGTCTAACTACAGTTAGCTTTTGTTAATTGTACCTCGAGCCAAACTTGTGATACTTGTTTCTGAAATCCCTTTCTCTTAAAGTGAATAAAAAACAAAAAAAACAATGGAGCTTACCCTAAAACTAACCACTGGATTGCTTGTCTAACATGACCTAGTCCATGTTAGCGAAGTACAACTGGGATTTCGAGGGGGAAGATATGCTTGGTTGATTCTAATTTTTACTTTCTTACTTTTTGAATACAAATCATGTTTGTATCACTACACTTCTAAGGGACAACATGGGTCAAACATTGCCCGTATTCTTTTGCTATGTTATTTCATGCATGGCTGAGTGTTTATTTACTATACATTTTCAAAAATAATTAATTTTAGCAGTGATTTGGACCAAGCATGTATGATGTAGTAATACAACAAGTATTTTAGTTCACACAGTGTGACATTAGCTAGTCATGTTAGCTTGTAATATATAGAGCAGAGCTAACTAGCAAGTTAGCCGAACGTTAGCGGTTAGCTGTTTATGCTAGGCTAGCTGTTGGCTGCTGAACATTAACAAACTGGATTCCGCTGTAAGAAAGCTGTGAAACTTTACATTAAACTTGGCGACAACACTGTGACACCCCGCTGCATGTTTATGTGTAATTCTCCCGTGTTGGAGACGAGAGGTGGAGCGGCAGCACTGCAATAAGCTGTAAGCTAACGTTAGCAGCCACCTTGTTAAACCAGGTTTGAGCGCAACATCTTGCAAGAAACAGCATCTCAGGGCTTCTTAACATTTAACAACCTATTAATGATGCAAACTCAGCTAACTAGAAGAAGAAACGTAACCTTAAATAAAAAATAAAACATTCACAAACTAAGGATTATCTAAATACATGTTTAACTCCATTACAGTTGCAGGACTCAACAGATCTCAAGTCTTCTGTTCTTTGTTGACGTCCCGATGCTCATATTTAACGTGTAGATGTAAAACGATCCCGATATTAATCCATTAATCCATAAACTCCTGCAGCTCCGAGCCGGAGCTGGAAAAGCGCCGGTGTGAAAGGGGCAGACAGCTGTAGCTCCGTCCGCAGGAGGAGACCCGCTCTAACTGACGTGAATGTTTCAAATGTGAACAACAGGCGCGGGCAGTTCTCATTGGCAGGTTTCTTCAATGACGTTTATATTAACCAATCAGGAGTGTTGTGGACTCATTCCAAACATGCCTGACTTGTCTGCCGTGTTATGGCTGAATTCCAATTCAAGTGCCGTAGCTCTGGCTGTCGGCCAGAATCCGAAAACCATGCACATTATACTGCATGAAAGACTAAGGCTTATTACTGTATATTGACCAATGGGGAAAAAAACACAGCAACAGAACACATAAATAAAACAAGGATAACTGTGACTTCCGGGTATTTCTCCACTGGTTGGGCCATGTTAACAATACCGTGTAACTGTCACATTTGAAGGGACGAAACCGTGACATATTCACGTCTCCCAGCAGGGTAGATCGTCACATGTTCACGTCTTGCCGTGATACCGGGTTGTATTAAGCAGGGCTGAGAGGAGGATTTATAAGACAATTTGACCTAGGTCTATTCAGTGGACCCTGGCAAAACAGTATCAAAGGAATGATGGAGACCTCAAAGCTTGGCGGATGGGTCGGATAATCAAGTATATCTTTCTGATATTTTTAAAGACTTTTTGTTGAGCTATGTTTGTATATGTACATGGATGCACTGCAGGACGGAGTCCAGAACAAATGTCCTTACGGGGACAATAAAGTATATCGTATCGTATCGTATCGTATTACTGCTGTCATGGATATGTTTGACATATATGTAATTTTTGAAGTTCTAGCTGTTGGCTGCTTAAGTTTCCATTGATTTTCATTTGGGTCTCTATTGCACTTTCTTTATTGCTTTAGTTGAAGAGATACTTGATATGCATATGGATTAATGTACCAAATATCCAGCAGTTTTGCAGTACAGTGCAGGCCAGTAATCCAAACACGGATTGGGTTTCATTGCTAATGACTAATGCAAAGTGTGACTGTGATTGTCTGAGGAAAACAGGAGCACTTTCTCATCTGGTTATTAAGGTTGGTATAATATAAGGATTAACATACAGGACATTTATATTTTTACAGATTACAGATTAAATCTCATTTTCTGCAGGAATGGGACACCTGTGGGGTTGCAGTATGAGCTTTCTTTTATTGACAAAAGTTGTCCAATTTAGGAAAAATAAGTAAACAAATTAAACATCTTCATATTGTTAGTTTCACATGTTAGTTTATAAGGCTGGGGAAAAGGAGGACGTAAATAGTCCACAAGCCAAATGTGTATGCAATGTTAAATCATTTATTTTAGGGTTTTCATATAGAATATGAGAAAGGCCATGCATTTGGTTTTTACTCTATTGTTACGCCCCAAGTATACACACTATGTATTGTTCGCATTTAGTTTTTATTGTGCATGCAACGTCCATTGAAAGAGCCACCTTTAACATGGGTGACGCTGATTTTCCTTTTTTATTCATGATCCAAAACAAAACAAGAGCATACTTGGCACATATCCTATTTACACTTATGAAGATGTCTGTTAAGCCCCAAAGCCCCCCTCAGCGGGTCTTTTTTTTTTCCACAAATTTTAATTTTTTATTAATTTTTTTAATTTAATTTTTTTTTCTTTGGATGGAATGAATACCTATGGTGATAATTCAATGTAATACATCATTTTTATAGTCTGGTACCTGAAAAAGGTCAAATGGCACTGATGGAACCAGATATACCCAAATGTGCCGAAAGCCTATTCTGCCTGGAACTTTTTTTTGCTAAATCTCTCTAAAAAGGTCAAATTTAACTTGTTTTGCCTCAATCTTGATACAGGGTACTTATTATATGTTATAGTTTGGATTCCTAAAGCTTTTAGTCTACTAACCCATCATCCAAGGGTGGTTTTCACTATAAGTAATGGGTTTTTTGTAGGCGGAGGTAAGAATTTACCTTTTTTTACTATGTTCCATCTGAATTTACTCTAACTGAGAAAAATCTATATTGATTCTGACACTTCTACATCCAACTCACAGATGTAACCTTGCTTTGATAAAAGAAATTATTCATATAACCCTTTTAGAAGTGAAGTTGTAGTCATTTGTTTTGGGCATGTCATTTTCGAGCCTGAAACCTGAAAAACAGGCTCGGGGCTTAACAGGTTAACTGTAAGGAATTACCTGACGAACCGCCAACAGAAATACCCACCCACCTCCCTCCCCGTCTGATACGTCATAACTCGGCAAGGACCAATAAACTGTTCAGGCTTTGTTTCTGAATGCAGTTGCACTATACATGATCGTATCCACTCCAAATGTAGATATTAGGAGAGTGTAGCTGCACACATGCTGAGGCTTCATTTGCTGTAATGCACACTTGAACGGCAAGAATTATTTTTTGAATTCCACTCATCACTAACCAAATGTATTATGTAAGTAAACAAGAATGACTGAACATATGTATTTATATTTCTGTATTATCCGCTACAGGTATCTTTTGATAATAGAAAAAACAACAAATCAGACAGGTGAGACTCCGTCTATAGTCAATAATAATTATTAACAATAAGATGCAGGGTAAATAACTCTTCTCTTTCTTTTCAGAATGCTTTTTCTTGCTATCTTCGCTGTTATTGCAGCCTCTGCTATAGCTGACCGTAAGTTTCCATGAATGCATTATCCTTTATGAATCAAATTTATAAGGATAATTCAAGTTCATAATATGTTTGTCTGTCTCCTTGTCGCAGCTGAGACTCAGAGCTACTCCTACTCCCCTCCTGCGGGGTCAGGGAGTGGCTCTCCATTCAGTATAATTGGGGAGGGAAGAATCACAGCTGTACGAGTGTGGGAGTCGTCCTACATACGAGGGTAAATGTTATAGATCATTATTTTGGAAGGACTGAAGAGCATTTTTTAAATAAAAAATAATGTAACACTGAGTAAAAGACACCATCAGATGTTATAGTTTTGATCCACTGGTTGCAGGTATTTATTGCAATAATATGACCACTAAACATTTGAAGTTCCCTTATGAATTTGTTCCTGTTTAATTTAGTACCTGATCAAACCTGATAACTTAAGGTACTTGTACTTTTGTAATTTAAAAATTGAGTATTTTCCCATTTATGTTGCATATTACTGCATCAATAACTAGCAACCTTTGCAGATTTAGTTCAATGTTACAAAAAATATTTTAAAACAATTTTATTAAAGGTTAGGCAACTCAGTAGAATGTAAAGTAATTCAAATAAGTCACACTTTTGCCAAGTGCCATATTTAAGTAATCATCACATTGATGCATCAATAACTTAAATACGATCAATGTTTATTTTATATTATGATTCTGAAATGGAACATGCTGCATAATGAGTATTTTTACCTGTGCTACTTTAAATAGGTTTTGATGCCGATGCTTTCGTACTTTGAATGCAGGACTTTAAAGTGAGCATTGTTACACTTCATTCATCAGCTTCCAGTTCCGCTACGGCTTCACCTGGTCTTCAGTTTCGGGTACGACATCCAGCCAGCTACAGGAGAGGGAATTGTCTGGCGGGGAAGCCATCATTCAGATTTCTGGGATGTACAGTCACTACGTGCAGTCAGTGGTGTTCGTAACTAGCAAGGGCCGCCATTTTGAAGCAGGCCAGCCCTCAGGCACTTCCTTCAACATGTATCCCAGCCACAAGGGTGCCGAGCTGGTCCTCATCAGTGGCACTACCCATGGAGGAATCACCTCCATCGCAGCACTCTGGGGTCGAGTTGATACATCTGCTACTCACACTGAGCACTGAGAAGTAGAGCTTGCCTGAGGAGATGCTACCATTTAACCAACAACTTGGCCAAACCTATGTATGAAAATTATGGTTTATTTCAGAATGTAATTCCTCTGTTCTGCGGTGCAACATTTTAACATTACAAATCTGCACATTTGCACTTTTGCTTGCTGAAGTGCTGTTCTTTATTTAGCTGGAAACATATTTTATTGTTAAATCTTTGTTCTGATGAATGTATGGGTTGAGAGAACTTGACTATTCCTACTTAAACACTTTCAAATTATTTCCAAACACATATCTGAGCAACAACACAAATTCACATTATGTTGCTACTTATACTAATTAAACATAGCTGACATTGCTCGTAGCTTCTTAATTTCTATATTTGTATGAGCATATACGTGGAATGACTACAGGACATATATAACACCCGCCTCACCCGCAAAGCACTCAGCATTGTGGGTGACTCCACTCACCCCTCCAACAGCCTCTTCAGCCTCCTGCCTTCAGGTAGAAGGTTCCGCAGCCTCCGCTCGATCTCCACCAGGCTGAGGAACAGCTTCCTCAACCAGGCGGTCAGAATGCTGAACTCTCTCCCCTCCCTCCCTCTCTCCCCCTCGCTGACATCTCTCCCCTGACCTCTCCACCCTGCCTCTCACCTTTCCCCCCTGCCCCAAATGGTCCTGGACTTTAACCCCCCCCCCTCCACACACACACACAACCTTCCCTCATCCAGCACCAGTCACTTTTCTACCCATCTCCGCTGCTACTGCACTGAAACTGTACTTTGAAAATGTTTCTATTTTGCACAAAAAATACTTGCATTAATGTCAATTCATGTTCTGTGGACTGTGTTTTTAAATATATTATTAACCAGTACTTATTAATACTATTACTTAGTTGTATACACCTTTTATCTAGGCCCTTTTTGTAACTTGTTTTATGTCACACTGTGGGACTGCGGGACTGCGGGAAACGGTATCTCGAGATTTCTGTATGTATAACACATGTAGACATTTTGACAATAAAGCTGACTTTGACTTTGACTTTGAGATCACCCATTCTAGCCTCATCCCCCTCTATTTCAGCCTGTTACTAAAGTGCTGATTCTGGGTCAGTAGCTTCAAACATTCACACTTCAACATAAGGCATGTTATGAGTTAAGATTAAGCAATAAGGTTGAGGGAATATGATACAACCTTGAGAACAAAAATACTGTGGTCACTACCGAAACACTGGATGTTTTGTAAAAAATTAAGTATATTGAGTTATCAACTAAAATGATATGATACTGATTGGTTTAATGTATGTTCAATTTCAACAATCATCAACTCTGGAATCAATATGATTAGTATTATGCATTTTACAAAGAAAGTTTGCATCATGATTTTTATGAATTGTATAAATTGAACTTTGAAATTTGATTAAAAATTAAATTGCATTGATTTAATTGTGAAAACCCTCAAGACATTTGTTAAAATACTATTTACTGTAGAGAAGGGAAGGTAAAACAATCTTAACAGGTTAATATAATACTTTTTTACTACAGTGTATGTACTATGTTTCGGTAGTGACCATTTTTGGTAGAGGAAGAACATTCCAATACAGTCTGAAAATACGATATAAAAAGGTACGGTTCTTTTACTAGATATGTGTAATTTAGATATGGTACAAAATATATATGGACAAAGTTTTGGGAAAAAAACATACAACATTTAAAAACTGTTCCAACCTGACTTTGCATCAATTCGGTAGAATGGCCCATATATTTAACTTGCCTTGCCTTGCCTGGTGTTGTCACTCATGTAATGTTAGGTAACTCAGAACATTTCTAAGATAACTGAGATTTGAGGAGGCCTTTCTTCACGTTAGGGGACAGATTAAATCTGTTAGCATTTTGTTTTTATTGCGCATGCAACGTCCATTGAAAGAGCCTGGGCGACGCTGATTTTCCTTTTTTATTCATGGTCCACAGCAAAAGAAGATCATACTTGGCACATATCATATTTCCACCTAAATTCTGAATAAATTGACTGTAAGGAATTACCTGACGAACCGCCAACAGAAATAGCCTCCTCCCTCCCTGTCTGATACGTCATAACTTGGCAAGGACCAATAAACTCTTGGACCTGTGTTTCGTAATGCAGTTTCACCATGATCTTATCCGAATGTGGATTTTAGGGGAGTGTAGCTGCGCATGCTGAGGCTTCATTTGCTGTAATGCTCACTTGAATGGCAAGTATCATTTTTGGATTCCACTCATCACTAACCAAATGTATTATGTAAGTAAACAAAAATGACTGAACAGATGTATTTATATTTCTGTATTATCCGCTACAGGTATCTTTTGATAATAGAAGAAACAACCAATCAGACAGGTGAGACTCCGTCTATAGTCAATAATAATTATTAACAACGAGATGCAGGGTAAATAACTCTTCTCTTTCTTTTCAGAATGCTTTTTCTTGCTATCTTTGCTGTTATTGCAGCCTCTGCTATAGCTGACCGTAAGTTTCCATGAATGCATTATCCTTTATGAATCAAGTTTACAAGGTGAATTCATATTCATAATATGTTTGTCTGTCTCCTTGTCGCAGCTGAGACTCAGAGCTACTCCTACTCCCCTCCTGCGGGGTCAGGGAGTGGCTCTCCGTTCAGTATAATTGGGGATGGAAGAATCACAGCTGTACGAGTGTGGGAGTCGTCCTACATACGAGGGTGAATGTTATAGATCATTATTTTGGAAGGACTGAAGAGCATTTTTTTAATTAAAAATAATGTAACACTGAGTAAAAGACACCATCAGATGTTATAGTTTTGATCCACTGGTGGCAGGTATTTATTGCAATAATATACACTAAACATTTGAAGTTCCCTTATGAATTTGTTCCTGTTTAATTTAGTACCTGATGTACTTTTGTAATTTTACAATTTAGTATTTTCCCATTTATGTTTCATTTATTTGACTGCATCAATAACTAGCAACCTTTGCAGATTTAGTTCAATGTTACAAAAAATAAAACAATTTTATTAAAGGTTAGGCAACTCAGTAGAATGTAAAGTAATTCAAATAAGTCACACTTTTGCCAAGTGCCATATTGAAGTAATCATCACATTGATGCATCAATAACTTAAATACGATCAATGTTTATTTTATATTATATTTGTATATGATTCTGAAATGGAACATGCTGCATAATGAGTATTTTTACCTGTGCTACTTTAAGTAGGTTTTGATGCCGATGCTTTCTTACTTTGAATGCAGGACTTTAAACTGAGCATTGTTACACTTCATTCATCAGCTTCCAGTTCCGCTACGGCTTCACCTGGTCTTCAGTTTCGGGTACGACATCCGGCCAGCTACAGGAGAGGGAATTGTCTGGCGGGGAAGCCATCATTCAGATTTCTGGGATGTACAGTCACTATGTGCAGTCAGTGGTGTTCGTAACTAGCAAGGGCCGCCATTTTGAAGCAGGCCAGCCCTCAGGCACTTCCTTCAACATGTATCCCAGCCACAAGGGTGCCGAGCTGGTCCTCATCAGTGGCACTACCCATGGGGGAATCACCTCCATCGCAGCACTCTGGGGTCGAGTTGATACATCTGCTACTCACACTGAGCACTGAGAGGTAGAGCTTGCCTGAGGAGATGCTACCATTTAACCAACAACTTGGCCAAACCTATGTATGAAAATTATGGTTTATTTCAGAATGTAATTCCTCTGTAATTATGAATATCTGACTCTCATACACTGGGATGTTGATCATGAGGGAAGTCTTAAAACAGGTTTAATAATCCTAATTCTGGGAATTGAAAAGAAAAGTGGTTTAAAGGTAAAAGATGTGTTCGGGTAAGAGTAACACAGGGGAAAATGTGTTGTCTGGAGATGCAAAATGGATGAAAGAGAAGGATGAAAGGAATATGAAAAGGTTAGAAAAGTGTCAAAATAACTATACTTTCACAGGAAGACTAGGGGTAGAGGAATGTGAGAATTTGGTTAGGGATATTGCCAAATATCTGGAATGTAACTACCAGAAACCTGCAGATCCGCTGCAACTGTTGTACCCCTGTAATTATGATGTCCTTTTTGTTTTCTGTTGTTTTTATGTGTAACCAATGTGCTGCAGGTCTCCCTTGAAAAAGAGATCGTTGATCTCAATGGGATTTTACCTGGTTAAATAAAGGCTACAAACAAACAAACAAACTCTTACTACTTTTAAATCCAGGCTGAAGACTTTTCTTTTTGCCGCTGCTTTTAATTTAACTATTCACATGTGTTATTCATGTTTTATCTTTTAACCCTGAGCCTGTTTTTCAGGTTTCAGGCTCGAAAATGCCACTAACACAACAAAGACTATATCTTCACTTCTAAAAGGGGTAAATTAATAATCTTTTTTCTCAAAGCAAGGTTACATCTGTGAGTTGGATGTAGAAGTGTCAGAATCAATATAGATGTTTTCATTTTAAAATAAATTCATATGGAACATAGTAAAAACATGTAAATTCTATCTCCGCCTAAAAAAAAACATTACTTATAGTGAAAACCACCCTTGAATGATGGGTTAGTAGACTAAAAGCTTTAGGAATCCAAACTATAACATAATAAGTACCCTGTATCAAGATTGATGCAAAACAAGTGAAATTCAACCTTTTTAGAGAGGTTTAGAAAAATAAAGTCCAGACGGACTCACCTCTGGGTAATTTGGGAACCATCAGTTCCATTTGACCTTTTTCACTGTAAAAATCATTTTATTACTTTGAATTATCACTATAGGTATTCATTCCATCCAAATACAACTGTTGTAAAAAAAACAATTAAAAAACAAACTTTGACTCCAATTGGAGCAGATTTATTTAAAACTTTACAATGTTACAATTTAGGCATGCCACTCCTCGTAACAATTATTTTTGGAAGTGAAGCACAGAGGGACCTCACACTTCCTGCAGTACACAGCTGTCTTCACCTTCTTTTTGCCAGCATCATGGCAGATCTCTTTCTAGAAGTTGAGGAATGTGAGGGTGAGGCAGGTGTGGCAGGTGTGGGCTGGGTGAAAGTAGGCAATGGTGAAGCCATTTAATCCTCATCTCCAT